TGTATGGTTAGAGCTTTGATCAAAAGCAAATATAGCAACACAATCAGGAAACATTTGTTCAAAGATAGGTATTGCTTTCATTTTTAACTATTAAATATAGATACAATTTTGATTTAAATTAAATAACTCTTAGTTTATGGATAATAAATAAATAAATAATATATATATAGATCTTACTTGATCAACAAGATTATCACTTGTCCAATATCCATCACAATTGATCCCAGGTCTAATAATGGTACATGCATCATCTTCAGGAATTCTTTCATTCTCAGGTAAATTACTGTTATGTTCCTTTTCTACTTGTCCTAAGCGTAAACATCCAATAGGTTCACATAAAAATTCACTAACATGAGGGCTGGCACCTTTATTTTTTGGACATAAAGGTTGCTCATTATTTGGCCCCCAAAACTTATCCAATCCATCATTAGAAAAGAATATAGATTCACCATGAGTTACCAGTATATGAATCTTTTCATCAGAATTTAAGGATGGCCAAATCACTTGTTCTATATTTTCACCATCAAAGATAGGCATGTACCTTTCATAAATTTTCATTTGATCTAAAAATTTTTCACGATATTCAACTACATCATCATCTCTTTCATGTCCATCAACATAAATGTCTTTTCTATATTTATTATAAGACCATCCCATTTTGCTAAGCCATCTATGTGCAGTCCTGTCACTAGTTTTTTTTCCTTCTCATATCCTAATGATGGAAGTATCATATCTGAAACATGATTAATAAAGTCATGAAGTCTAAAATTAACCTTTTTAGAACATAAATATTGACTTATCTTAATTTGAATATCTTCATCATTTAATGCAGATTTGATCTTCTGATGTTTCCCACGTTTTGAGGAAACCAACATTCCTTTTTTTTGTATTGGGATGTCCAGGATCTTATTAATCTAGACATCCATGGGCCACGGTTTAAACTTTCTGCAAGCATCTTACTTACTTCCATTTTTGAACCACCATTCTGTACTAATCTCAAATATTGGGTAATGTATCTTAATCTATAATCTTGAATTTTAATTTTTTTAATTTCTTCCTCAAGCTGCTCTAAAGTAAAATTAGATGAATCCTCTTCACTAAATTCATCAAAATCCTCTTGAATGAAGTTAGATGGGACTTCAGTTGATTCATCTTCTAAATTTGAATTATCTTGTTTGACATTAGATGTGCTTGATTGTTCTCTGCATTTTGAACCTGTATGTTTAAATTTTTATTTTTAAAGTTTTGAATTTATTTATCTTTATGTAATGAATGATTTGTTATTTACCTGGAAAAAAGATTTAATGCTAGCTGTACCTTCAGCTGCTTTTTTTAAAATGCTCTTATTTCTATAAAATGTTCTTGATGAAGAACCAGTATAAATTTGAGGTCTTCCTTCTGTTTTCCAAACATCTTTATCTTTACTTGCACTAATTAATTTATTAAATGCATCATCATCTAATCCTTCAAACATGCTTTCATTAAACCATTCATCACCAGAATCATCAGTCTCATAAATGAAATCATCATAATCAATTTCTTCTTCACTTGATGCATTTTTTTTATTCAATTCATTATCTGACTTTATTTTTTTAATATTTCTAGCATCACTTAAATGTGCAGCTTGTTTATTTTTTCTTGGCATTTTTTTAATTTGTTAGTAATGTATTGTTTGTTGGTTACTTATGAAAAAAAAATATATATATTAATATGACGTTGGTTTTCTGAACCAAATTTTATAATTTGCTCTGGTCACGGGTCTCAGTGATCTTTTCCCAAATAGGAAGAATCATCTTGTGCCAAATTTCATTTTCGATAGTAAAATCGTCCAACTTCAAACCACTAAGGCTTTTTTTTATTAGTAAAATTGAAAAAAGCTCTCTATTTCATTGTTGCTTAGGTTCTAAAGATTTCAAAAATAGAAAGTTTTTTTCAATTTTATTAATAAAAAAAAAAGCCTTAGCAATTTGAAGTTGCACAATTTTTTGATGTCTTTAGATGACCTGCACTATAATACTAATACTAATAATAATAATAATGTGAACATCGTGTTACGTGGGGTACAGGTTTCAAAATTTAGTGATTAAAATCTTTGCTTTTTTCTTAAGTGGGTATATAGAACTCTGCATAAACGGAAGAACCAGGAAAACGTGCATCTGAGTTCAACTGTTACTAGGGATTCTATTCGAATAAACAAATAATTTGATTAAGAAAATTAATTCAAATAAGCATTACGAATAGAAACCCTAGTTGACAGTTGACTGAAAATTATTTCTCTTCTGCTTTTTGGTTTTTTTTCTAGGATGCTGGTCTTCCTAGTTAAAAGGAAGGCAAATTATTATCAACAACATCTGAGATAGCATTCATAAATTGAAACAGACTACCCTTTGACATTTCAATGAAGAACAAATGAATATAAATTTAAGAGCACATATAAATTCATTATTTTTAATTAATTATATTTTTTTCAT